TATTTTAGGTGCAATGTCGTGCCAACAGGAATCCAATTAAGTGGTTAATAAATTACAAATAATGATTCTCATAACAGTAAATTATTTCACTGCGTTTCAATATATAAGTAATTGTGATGGACTTTTTTTTAATAATTTATCAGGTTAGTCTCTTAGAGATTAAAATCTTTTTTCAAGAAACACCTGACAAAACAGCAGCACCAGACCAGGCCCAACTACAACACATTAAAAAATAATTTTATGCTAATGTAATAATGATCAAATCAAAAAACAAGAAGAAGGACCTGGAGGAAATAATTCAAGTCTCTGGTGAAATGTTGTCAAACTATTAAAAAGTCCAATCTGATTAATCAAGATAAATCGACATTCCTACGTATTTTTCTCAACATACTACTGAATCACCTTCACACCTGTTTTTATTGGACTACTCCAAATGATGGACTTAGAAAAGGGAAGATAAATATAACTCAAAATGTAACTACAGACGTGGTACGTTTCAGTCATTGCTGGGCACCAAGAGTTCTTTGAGAAGCCATTTCTCTTATTAATCAGTCTGCAGTCCCTCACAGTCCATTTAATCATTGTGTCAGTCAACCTGTCAGCTGTAGACTCATTTACTGCTAATTTATACTTGGTGAGTCTGGTCTAACACAAACACGTGCTGGGCGTTGAGATAAAATTTTAAGCTTGAACATTTAAAGAACATAATTCTTGACAGTTTCCAGTCTATCATTCTCACGGATCACACAACAGTACGCTACAGTAATAAGAAACATCAAAACATCATCAGTAAATATCAGTGTTTAATGGAACTTCTTGTCTCACATACTTTTAATTACATAAATATAAAAGTACAATCATTGGTATAAATGTGCAACTTGCAAAAAAAAACCCAAAAAATTAAACAATTTTGCATACATCAACTTAATGCTAAACCACTACGCAAGCAACATGAGACACTGTGTCTTTGTCAGTGCTGATGGAGCAAAGGTTGACATGGCTGTGGGTTTCCATCGCCTGAAGCAGCTTTTTATCGGCATTTTGTCCTTCTATACCAACAACGGCCAAAGAAAAATCAAGTCCCAGATCAAGGCTGACAATGTGACTCTGGTTAGAGAGCGGCTAAGCAGAGCTGTAATACATCATTCTGTTACCAAGCCATTCAGCTGTTTACCTGCCTGATGGTAACAGCCGTTTCCACTCTGCCCAGACCATATGAATGTGCATGCAGTTTGTTCCCGAAACAAATGGATCTAACAGTTTCAAACCGCAGAGAGCTACTGCTTCTCCCTCTTTAGAGGAAGATGGAAAAGAGCACAGTGTTCTGGAGCATTCTTTGATCACAGAGGAATCATAGCTGGAGACGCACTTCGATTGCTACTAAGTACACTTCCATTCTCTGCTCATTTCCGAGCATAACTTAATTGTTTTTTGAGCACGTACTGGAAAAGGGGTCCTCAGTTGTGGATCTACGTTACTGTCAGTGCTGTTGAATGCAGATCAGATTTTCCACTTTAAATACAGTACAATATTATGACTAGAATAAATTGGCGCGACTGCGTCAGACTTGTAATCTAACACTAAATCAATGCTGCCAAGTTCACTGCACATCTTGCTGTGCTGAGGCTTGAGTCTGCTATGTTTACCTACAGAGAGTTGTGCGCTTTATTTTTCTTCTTGTAGTTTGATTTCATGTTTGGTGAGAAGAAAGTACTTACACAAAGAAATGCTAAATCAGCGATATGTGTGGACAGAGGTCATTCGTACAGTAAATTCACCAGTCTCCTCTTACAGAAGACAAAGGATGAACGTGGAGCAGTTAAAACCATTGCAATCAATGGAGGTTCAATTTTGCAAAATGCAAAAGGATTGTAAAGTACATTTCACAAGCTCTAGACATGAACATCTTATTCAATGAGAAACCTTTTTTATAATAACCTTATACGTAGAGACTAATGTAAGGCATTTAATTTCAAGACATGCATGCATTCTAAGATGAGCAAACATTAAATACAACTGATGCAATGTCTTAAAAGCTCATAGTACAGCCTAAAGAAAACATCCTACGCCATAAATGGGGTTATGTTAGAGAGGCATAAAGATAGGATTTTCACAGTCCTTCAAATTCAATTCTCATTTCAGTCATTACATACAGTTGGACAAACAAATGCATACACACATGCTCCTGGTTGAAAGACAGAAAGTATACAGGTCAGCTAACAGCCACGTGAACCCTGACGTGACAGCTCTGAGATGGCAATCCTCCGGCCTCAAAGAATACATTAAAATTCACGCATAAGGTTCTTCACACCCTCATTTGGTAATCATTATTCCTCCAACATTTCCCAACAGGTTATCAGCGGTAAATCCCAGCTACAGTATGTTATTGGCTACAGCACGACCAACAACTACCTTTACCTTTATGTCCCAGGGCTTGACACTTTTCAGTGTCAGCAGTGTGACAGTTAGCAACAATGCGGTGGCTGTACTTTTCACCTTGGGCATCGTAAGCTTCACATCCTGTCACCGACATCACTCTGCTGCTCAGAAGCCACTTTAATGGGAATTTAAAGAGAACAAAATGTGCAATTTTGTCAATCTATGTTCTTGTTGTCATGAGGCTAAAGCTAGCAACCCGTTAGCATAGCTTACTGTAGGACCAATGGAAATAGTTAGTTTCCTACATTGTAAAGTGGTAATTTGTTAGCGTAGCTCGAACTGCGATGATAGTAGTGGACGTTTAAGGCATTATAAATGTCTTTTTGATATTAGAGGTTTGCGGTGAACCACATATTGCTGACAAT